CAATCATGAGCTTTTGTACGCTCGGATTTTACAGAAAACTTTTGAGGTTTCGGAAGAGTGAAAATTGCATAGCTAGAGTCTGGCAGTTGTTCAACATTTGGAAAGAATGAGGAGGCTGAGTCATCCGGTTGGTAGCTGGTGGTACGTAAGTAACATTGAAATGTTGGGAAACAGACGAAGTCACTGACGAGACTTTGAAATTTTTTATGGACAGAAAATTCTTCGTCAACATTGTTTGTAACAATCAGAGTCAATGATTGAAGCTGATGTCGAAAGATATTTAAAAACGATTTTACCGTTATGAAGTTTGGCTATGATAAGTAACTTTCGGATTCGTATCTTTCAAATTCTAAGTGAAGTTTTTTTAGTGTTTGTGGTACTTGTACTAGGTTCAAAGTTTCAAAATCTTCGAATTCTCCCAGTGATAATTTCAGTTCTTCAAGATTTGATAGAACACCAATGTTTTGATGTTCTATCATCAATGTTTTGATGTTTCATCAATGTTTTGATAGAATTTAAATCGACCGAGAAACACTTGATGTAAGGCATTTGTGAAACAACACCATCGAAACTTGTAAAATAATATTTGCAGGAGACAATTGCCAGTGTACTGAGGTTATGTAATGCTGCAGCAGCAGCAGAAATTCTTCGAAGCATGTCAGGTACTTGTGAATAAATTGAAAGTTCGATTAAAGATGGTAGTGATAGTGCTTCGATGTAGAGCACGTCTGCTGCTTGGTGTAAGTTATTCTTTTCTTCTTCCTCTTCAGCTGCCAGAGGCTGCAGATTAACCAAGGAACGAACGTATAGCTGTAATAATTGAAGTAGGTGTTGTTGTCCCGTTACTTTCATTGATCGAATGTAATGTCCGTAAAGTGGAAGAATATGTTCATAGAAGAGGCGAAACTGTCGGTGGAAAGGTCGGTTACTTTGAGTTAGATCAATATCGTGAAAGTATGGTTCGATTATTTGTTGGAATCTTCGATTGAGACCCATGAATGCATAGACTAGCTCGAATTTATGAAGGTAACGGAAGAAGACGAGGAATAATTCATTAGGTAATGATTCCAGAGAGCTCATCTCTTCGCACAATAAAAATGAAGAAAGAAGCCACCAATAACTAAAAAACAAAAAATGATATTAGACTGAGTCACCCCCTCCCTGCTTTTGAGCCCTCGTTACGCCCCTGCGTTTACCGTTACGATAGAACAAAATCAATATGTTAGGAAGTATACTCAAAAGAATAAATTGTGTTTGTCACTGTGCAATCTCTCAAGCCCGTTCAAAGTGATGAGCTGTTCCAGTATTCCCATTGCCCACCTTATTCTTTCGAGCATAGGTGTAAAGAGTAACCAAACTCAGATTGTCAGAACTGTTAATAGGCGACTGACCTCTGCGTGCCAGTCACGGGGCTCCATGGAAATCCGATACCAGGTCTGAATCACTCAAAATCAAAGTCACACTTGGCTCCCACTTTGAAGAGGGCACTTTAGGTTATTTACTCATGGAAAAAACAATATATTGATACTTTATCGTTTACAGTTACGAAACGGTTTTCTAGAGATCTCCTAGAAAACCGGTTTCCATGGAAAAACCATTCTTCAAAATCGCTCAAAATGGTCTTTTTGGGGAAAATTGCAACTTTCAAATCGTCTGTATTAAAAACAAAGCTTCTGACACCGCCAAATTTTTACCAAATATTTTGTCATACCGATTGCAAAACCGATGTCATACTAGGAATCAGGATCAGAAACTGAACTGATTGATGTATGTTTCAGGATTTTGGAATAACTTGATTTTTTTCGAACTTTTTGGCTGAAAAACTTATTTTAAAGTTTTTTTCGGATTTTTGCCCTATTTTTAAAATTTCGATAAAAACTTCAATTTTTGATATGGAGTTGATTATAGCGTAGTTCGATAAAGAATATTAACTTGTATAAGGTGAAACACTTTTTATCCTTCCCGAATGAAGTTTGACGCAGAAATTTAACGTTCACCGCCCCGTGGAAGTTTTAGAGCTAAAAGTATTTTTCGGCAGTCCCTAGCGACAGATTTTTTTTAAATTGTCCTTATTGCGTTTCTAAATTGAAAAATACGAAATTTTACAATTTTAGAAACCATAAAATTTAATTTAAAAACCAAGGACAATCATCAGCCTCAGAATGGGCTCGCGAAGCTATTGTTCAAGCTGATCGATTTTCTGACAGATATGAGGTAGAACCCATAAAACAGTACGCTCTTTCGTTCTAGATATCTTTCGAGATGATCTGAAATGGGGCCGATCCTGGTTCTTATTGCATCCCGTCCTTTCTCAGCACCGAAGAGAAATTTTAAAAGAAGCGATTTTTATTTTATTTTCTTGCCTAAAGGCTAATTGAACGTGATATAACTTAAGCTTATATCTTCTGACAGAAAAACTAGGTTTTCGAAATATGACAGCGCGCTTTAGACTTTCTCTAAACATGAGACATTAGTGTGGACAAACGTTTAAAAGACGAATTGACGAATCGCACTTTTTAAGCGTAAAAATAATACGATAATTTGTATTTTACGATTGTTTACGAGTTCGTAATTCATTGCGAACTGATGCGAACTGATAAAAAGGATAAAAAAGGGGTACCTCTTTTGTTCGTCTTGCGAATTCGTAAATTGGGACGAATTCGTAGGCAAGGAATTTTGAGCATCCACGAATTCGTAATTCGACTATCGACGACTTCGTGAAATGATCCTTTTGAGAGAATTTTAGAGAATTCGTATATGAATTCGTAAAGGTTTAGGAATTCGTATTTTATGAAGTGATATGGTTAATAATTAATCTTTTCCTAAGTTCGAAAAAAGATAGAATTGTGTCTGTTTATCGATTCATATAGGTCTCACCTCAATTCGCCGTTATTTTTACGAATCCGTAAAATACGAAGCGATGTCACGGACAAGAAAGTTTTCTCTAAGGTTAAGAAAACTAGAATCGACTCTTCGTATCAGTTCGTTCATTTCTTTCACCAATTCGTCGATAGTTTTACGACTTCATAAAATACGAACTGATGTTCTACCTTTAAAATTTTTCCCTGTAGTGAAAATAGATAGAATCGCCTCTTCGAATCTCTTCGTATTCTACGAATGCATAAAGATAACGGCGAATCGAGGTGAGAACTATGCGAATCGATCCGAAGACGATTTTTTCGTGTCCTAACATCAGAGAAATGTATTTGGAAAGCTATCGTAGAATTGAGCTCAAAAAAAACAAAAAAAAACAAGACTCTTCCTAGAGAAGTGTTCATGTGAGTTTGAGTATGAAATGTATAGTACGAATTCGTGAAGGAGTTTTACGAGTTCACCATCAGTTCGAAACTATCAGTGGTAGTCTACCACTGATGAATTGGGTAAACTGGTTTGCAAATTCGTACCCAGCCTAATAAGCGTACACATCGATTCGGAGCGAATTCAGAGAAGGAGTTTACGCATTCGTGGATCCAACCGCTAGATCAGTTCGTAATGCGAATTCGCGAATTCGTATTTATAAATTAATTTAGTTCTAAAAGCAGTGAACACGAATTTGTAAAGTAATTTTACGAATTATTTGCGAATTGATCAGCATCATGTTTGATCTATTCGCATGTTTACAGATTCGTAAGATGAATTCGTAAAAGTTTTTAAGAGCATCCATACGGATTCGATACAGTCTGCATCAATTCGCTGCGAATTTACAAAGTAATCGTAAAATGCGAATTATTGCATCATTTTTACGCTTAAAAATTGCGAGTCGTCAATTCGTCTTTTAGACACTTTGTACACACATCTCACATGAGATTTCCTTAAGGACATATTATATATGATCGAGGTCAAAATTAACATTTCTAGTCTCGGTTCCTTATGCTGAGTTTGAAGAAAAAAATAATAGCGTTTGAAGATGAAACAGGAAAAACATTTAGATATTTTTCAAAGCCTAACGGTTTCTCAAAATTTTATAATCCCCAAGTATTCTGAAGTTTTTCATTCAACAATCAATCTTTTTAAGCTGAAACCCACATATTCTTGATCAGCTCCCAGAGCTCTACCGAATCATGCATAATATAGCGGAAAATAAAATGGTATGGTAATTTCGAATTTGGTGCACCTGACACTATAGTGTGCTACATAGAGACGCGAGGGTATAACTCAGATCCAGGTCTAGTTCCACGCCCTAGAAAAGCTTTCGAGTCCAGATCTCGATATTGAAAAATTATTGATACATCAGAAGAATTTTTTCAATTCTCTAAGAGGACTGCAATTGTGATGCCGCCAATAGACACTAAAGAGAAGGCTTCCATCACATCTAGTATCCATTTTTCTCATTCTTTTATTGTTAAATGATCAAATATTAGAGTCTCTATTGATGAATAAATCTTCCTTTCAACTTGAAAACTCTCACTACTTTGATATCTTCCTAGTATGGGTCTACTAAATCACAGTAAAGATTCATTAAAACCTTGGTGATAATTCTCAATTGACCTTCTACTGGATGATGGACTGCTTGCCAACATATCATGTGAAACATCATAAATTCGTTTTTTCTTGTTAAACGTACTAATTTTTTCTATACCACATATACCTGCAACTGAAAATAACAGCATAAACGCAATTACACTGATGATAATGATCATAGTTTGTTTATCTAAGCTATTATTTGATGTCATTGATTTGTCGACATTAACGGTTCTTGCGACGGTTACCAAAGATGTTTCAATCTCCCGTACGGTTATTGAAAAACTTGTTTCATTCGTTTGGCGATCTACGTAGTGATTGATGACTGTCTGAACTGTAACAGCTGAAATAAGAAAAAATAATTTTAATGAACACACAATATTATTGCGTTCGGTGGTCTAGTCCTAAAGAAGAAGTTAATTCGATTCATCATTGTTAACGATAATCTTGACGAAGTTTAACAGTTACATACACAGGATCAGAAAGATATTGAGTCAGCAGATCCGTTTAAAGTCACTATATTTCTACTTCATGTTAAATCAAACATCTCCTGTTGCTGCGCAATCAAACATTCTGATACCTATTTGAGGTGTAATTGTATTTAATGATTTTGATTTTTTTGTTTGCTCGGATATGTCTTGTGGCTTCTTATTCTTCCAATAGCCGAAAAGGGACGGATAGAGATATTTTGCTACAATTCCCACTACAAAGAGAACTAGTGCACCAATTGTAACTCGTTTCCCATATTTTTTAAATCTATTCTTCGGCTGTTTACTATTAGCATCAATGAAAATAGCATTTAAATTTCTACTTTTTGCAACATAGACATTTATCATTTGCCGACGTAAGTCATTTGCTTTCTGTTTAAGTTTATCATTGTTAGGATCAGCCTTAAAAGCTGCATCTGCTGTTTGCCAAGCTTTTTTTGCTTCGTCTTTTACTGCTCTGATTTCTTCTCGTTTCTTGTGTCGATTCTCTAATTCTTTCTGACGTTCGCGAGCTATTATTTCATAATGCGCATCAGAGAAAACAAAACGACGAGAACGATGATAAAGAAAGGCAAGACTATCTTGACGTAGATGTTGTTCAAATGTAAAACAAAGTGCTGTTTTAGACAGGTAAAAAAATATAAGAAGAAGAGGAAAAACAGAACATTCTGGTTTGGTGAAAGGCATGTTTGTGTGATATAACATTGAAAAATCAAAAAAAAAAGTTAAAATCCTCTTGGTTAAGAAATAGTTTCAAGCTTTTGGCGCGCGCTGAAAACAATATCATGTTGTTCTATTTTTTACAGTTATCAGAAAAGGATTAATAAGCAACTCGAAATAGCTCAAAGATTTTCGGACAAAATTGGTATAAATATCGACGTTTATTTTCATCATTGAATGTAGAATAACAAAGATAGACTTTTGAATAGGAGAAGATCTCAAACTTACAGAGAGCTTTCGGTAGAGAGAGGACAAAAGAATAAAAAAGTAAGAATTTATGCTATGTACATCTCGTGAAATATTGCGGTTATTTCTCGACTTGATCAATCTTGAATCTATCGAGATGTCACGTCAGACTGCTGTATAAGAACTAATAACGATTTGTGATGTCACATGAAGTTATCTCTTTCTACTTCAATAAATTATTATTTTAATAATTAGTTGTATGGTGACAATGCTGATCTTTGTCATGATAAAAATTTCACGCGAGATAGAAAACGATAAGTTCATGTAGTGTTCAACAAATCGCGATCAATTTTTGTACAGTGGTCTGATGTGGCATCTCAATAGATTCAAGATTCATCAAATCACAAGAAATATCGAGATCTATGCCGACTACTGAGTTCATCGCTGTACAGCTTACTACCTTAGTCTCGTATGATATATATCCATAATAATGACAAGCAAGCATTTTTCATAACACAATCAATTATTTTTCACGCTTTTCACAACTGAACTGCTTTTCAAGTCATTTTAGACGGATTAACCTTAACGCTGAGTCGATAGATAGGTCTCACGAAAATTGCTATAACTCCGAAACGAAGATAGCCAGTGACCTCGGACTCGTGTAGTTTTGTAAAGAACACTCTGGGCTGTTTTTTGCAATCCAGACATAGGGGACACTATAGGAAACTAAGGAGCTGCGATATTTTTACTCGTATGATACACCATCTGAAAAATTCGACTACAAGGTGCTCTATGTATGGACCGACAGAGTTAAGTTTTGTCTAGAAAACGATGGAAACGCTGATTTCTATCCAGTTTCGTTCTTGAGTTATTCAAAAATAACCGAGAGTATTGCTCTGTTTTCGATAGTAGAGTCCACCTCAGTTTTCTGATATTTTCGTTTCATTTGGTAGAGAAGACTTGAATGATATTTTATACACAAATATCTCATTGTATGGCCTCAAGCTGATTCACATGTTTGGATTTTAGGATGAGGCTTTATTTTCTGAATAAGGGATTACCACACCCAAACTTTGGTTTTATACCTTCCAGTGGATAATACTACGGTATTCTTAATAAGTTTATTGGATGTGATAGAGAATTAGTGTACAAAATAAGACTAGAACGATGCTTGAGTCTTTTGGTGGTTTGGGGCGAAATCGATTTTAATTTTGGTTAGGCTACTAGATAGCAAAATGAAAGATAGACGAATATTCTTTCAGATATGGAGGTGAAACACCGACTACTTGAGCAACACTCAGCTCGATCTAGTCATATATAACACATTCTTCAAATTTAAACTTTTCTTGTCTGCCAAGATCCTTTTTCTTTCTGGGATCTGTTCATCCATTCTAACTATGATTTGTAATTTTTTATTGCATAAAATTTAGTTAGTAATCATACATGTAAAAAAAGTCACATTCCCACTAAAGTTTTGTGGTTAGTTCAAGTCATTAAGACATTTGAGATGATGAGATTGAGGAACTATCTTCATCCATTTGTCGATCATGACTATCTTCATATACGCTTGCCTCACCATTATCCTGATCTGTATTGTTTTGCTTATACTTGTAGGACATGGCCTTTTCGTTTACCACCATATTTTCACTTGCTCTCACCTGACGAAGTAATTCACGACATTTATCTTTATTAACTGATTGTTCTGATAACACATGACTCGTGAAATAATCAAATATCAGTAGTGTTTGATACGAGGATTGATCATCACTTGTAATTAAATCCTGACATAGCGACAGCTTTTGGTCGATATTTAATTCTTCGATGAACGGTGCATCCTCCACAAGTCGCGATAAACCATCGAGAACTTTAGTTCGATACGTTTCATTCGTCAAATATTGTTTGAAAAACTCAATTATGGCTATAAGATCTTGCTTAATATTTTTACTGTTGACTAGATTTAGTAAAAGTTCACCAGTGCGTTTAGCAAGTGCCTTGTTATATTTCAGTACATCTTGTGAAAATTGTTTCATTTGCTGAATGATTTGATCATCGTTTCGATAGTGTTTGATGTCAGCAATGATAGATGAGATTAAATCATCGATACGATGATAAACAGGCAGATCGTGATAATCATCGAGAGCATTTTGATCGCGATCAATTTGTTTATATTTTTCGTTTGTCATAAGTTCATTCAATAGTTGAATAACTCTCGATATGTATGATGAATTCATTTTACAACAGGTTAGTATTCGTGCAAATGCCTGTTGAGTCAATGTATTGCCTATCTTATCAAATGTTTGACATATCGGAACAGCTTTATTGACCAACTGATCCTGATCACAGTGTTCATGATCAATTAGTTGCCAGCCTTTTTGACAAATAATTAATGATGGATGATCTAAAATTTTCATTTGAACGCGCTGCACAAACATTTTCCGTTTCTCAGGTTGTCGAATTTTCTGCGATGATGTAGGACTTTTCCTTCGGTAACGTCGTTTCATCGGAGATCCACCATTCAACAGAAGTTCATCGTGAACTTTTCCATATTCATCACTGACAGCTGCTTGCTCTAGCATAGCCCACATATTTTCATTTGTAAAATTTGTTTCGATAAAATGGATGAGAATAGCAATGCAGCATACACGGATATCCTGATGAGGTTTCGATAACCATAGTGGATGAAGAACATAATCGATCAGAGTACGATCGAAACGATATTCAATGAGTATACGAAGAAGTTCTTTGTTTGCTGTTATACCTGAAATTTATCATCGATTCAATCAGTCCTTTTGTTTGCTGCTCACATTTTGGAAAAACATATCTTTGCAATAGGAGAACAGTTAAAAGCTTCAAAGGTAAAATACGAAGAAAAAATGTTACTCGAACCTTGTGTTTAGGCCATGCTCATTTGACTTATGAGACACAATAGCCCATATACCCAAATATTTAGAAAACAAAATCTATTCATAGCCATACTATAAAATGTTTCAACAGAAATCGTATGAAAAATTTCTTAAATGCTCTAGGTTTCTGTAGCAATTTATTCTTAAACTATAAGCTATATCCGAGATGAAAGAAAAAATTTAAACAGAATGTAACATTTTGTCTAGAGTTCTAACTAAATTTTATTAAAAAGCTTTCAAAAGACCGAAACTGAAAGAGATTCTGCAGTCACAAAAATTTCAGTTATCTGCTTAAGCCCGCCCGGAAAGTAAATGCACAATATTAAACTGAATAATAAAATAATTTTCTAAAAACGTCTAAAAAAGAGGGGTTACGTTTCATTTTCTCTGATGGTGCACATTAGAATTCGACTATATATACACTACCGGATAGAGCACGTCGGCCTCTGCAAGCTCATACATATCCCGTTTTGGGGTCAAACATCACCCTGAAACTTCTAGTCGCCTTTATCAATTTTTATAAAATTCTGGGGGGCGGGAGGGGGCTATAATATCTGTCTGTTATGAGCATCTTCGGATTGTTTTCGAAATGCTCACTATGCTAGATGCGTCCTTTTAGAAAAGTGCACAATAGCAAGGGGGAAACAGCTGATTTTAGGATTTTTCCGATTTTCACTGATTTTTCTCAATTTCCTGTGATTTGTCTGGGAAATGGGAATAGTGTTTCATTGATAAATAGTGTGGAAACTGCTTTACGTGTACAAAATGGGAATCAGACCTAGTGAAAGTAAAGAAAAAAACGATAAAATCGATTTTTAGAGACTTTTTAGGATTTTAGTGATTTTTAAGGATTTTTAGCGATTTTTGCATATTCGATATTCATATTTTTTAAAAATCTAGTGAACTACGGGTTATTGACGATGCTGATCGAGAATGTTATATTCATTTTGTTCGGGAATGAATAGGAGAGTCAGGAGTTTTTTTTCTGATGTGAGGCATTTTTGGTCCTTTCTATGATAGTTGGTGTTTTCTAAACTGTATCTTTCTGTAGAAAAACATCGTTCCATACAGTTCTCACTTTCTTTCTAAATATGGTTTCAAAAGTGGAAAAAAAGATACAGAATAGGAGGAAAAGTTAAACATATGGCGAAAATTTAGGCTAACTTTCGATATTTCAAGATTATTACCATCAAAGAAAAATTTCTGAAGCTATTTTACATGAGCGAGATAGAGCAAACATTTTTTACAAAGAAATAAGTTTTTATTCGATTCAAATTAGATTTTAGAGTCGAGAATGGGTCAGAAAGGATCAAGAATACCTCATCTCAGAAAAACATTTCTTGACTATTCATTCTCAAACAATATGATATATGACATTCGCTATCAGCATACTGGATAACAGATGGTACACTAGGTTTTTAAAAAATGAAGAAAAAAATTTTCGACATTGTCTTGGAGAACAAAGGCGACCATTTTTTAAAAACGAAATGGGCTCTTTTGTTTAGAATTTGAGGCTGATTGAGAATATATGATTGTTTTCGAAAAATATTTGGGGACGAAAAATAATCTTATAGCCACTTATCTTTTCATATAACATCTCTTCGAGATATAATTAGCTGATGTCGGCGAAGCAAGTTAGAGCTTCAACAGTCAAGTTCCTACGCGAGTTTCCATGAAAGCTATAGTCATTTAGAGTCAAGGATAGTAGATGAAGCTTTGATATGAACGATTTCAATTTGCCTAATTAAGCTCTAGATAACTTTTTCAAGCCTAGAATCAATTCAAAAGATCGATCTTTCTGGTATGTAGATCATGTTATGGTGAATCTCTTATCTTATAGTTTCAAACACTAAGGTATAAAGTGGCTGTTCACAAAAATTGTTTGATTTTGAATTCTTTTTAGTAGTGCGCATATGAAAAATGACTTTTCTTTTTAAAATGATGTTTTTTCTTTTTTTTCGATCTAATCGAATACTCACCTAGTTTTGGAAATTGTTCACTTTTGATGAATTTCAAATATAAATCCAAAAATTCTTTATCAGTTATTTTTCTTGATATAACCAGCATTGCGTCGCTTACATATTTTGCATTACTTGAATTGAGTTTTTCCATTAAATGATGTAATATTTTCAATAAATCCGATTTAAACAGATCCAATCCGGCTGGTAAACATAAAACAATATTATCAAATGATTGAGCACCGAATATTTGTCGAGCATTGTCTTTCGTTGATACCTCTTCTGCTTGTTCCTCACCAGAGACTGTTGTGGTTTTATCAGCTGTGACTTTTTCACTCCATTTTAACGTAAGATAATGGGTAGTTGTGAGACACTTTAAAGCATTGATAGCATTTAGTTTTTCGTACATAGATATATCGTCATCTTCTAAATAATCATTGTGAAGCATATTTGTGACTTTCAATTGTTGCTCATGGGTAAGACAATTTGCATAAAGTAAAAGATTATCGATGGTGGTAAAACCTGGCAACTTTTTATCGTTGAAACGCATTAATTTTGTTTCTTTGCCGCCATTCAGTTGTTTTAATTTATCCAGTGTCAAGCATTTTTCATCTTGTATGAAAAAATTGATGTAATGGGTGTTTTTCGATAACATTAAACATTTTTGGACACAACTGTCGTAGATATAAGCAATATCTAATTCTAATAGACGTATTACTCGCTCCGATCTTTTATTTTTATCTTTCAAAAATATTTCAATTAGCGATGCATTTGTATCAATGGAAAACATAGTTAACATAGACTCTTTATTGGCCAAATGTGTGAAGAAAAGTCGTTCGAGAAATTCATCAACAAACTGAACAGACCATGGTTCAATAAACATGCATGAAATTAAACTTTCGATATCAGAATAGGCATTTTTATTCATCATTTTCTCAAGTGGATCTTTCAGTTGATCAATCAATATTTGTTGAGCCACTTTAGATGATTTTAATACTTTTTGTTCACTACCTGTGAATTCACCTTGTGCCAAATTTGATTCGTAGCAACTAGAATGCATAATACTCTATTATGTATGATATATTTTTAGTTAAGAAAATCTTTATACACGAAACTCAAACTTTTGTTTAAGTTAAGGCTAATACTAAGAATATTTTATCACAGATTACATGTCTGATTGTTTCTGACATTTATCATATCAACCTGTGTACGCTCCTTATTTATAGACATTGACTTGTCTATTATGTAACTACATTTCATTTAGATAAAACTGAATAGATGTGGCTTTTCTCATTTTGGAAAAGTATACGTGAATCTGTTCACGACAGTAGACTAATTTATTCTAGAAATTAGTTTACTGTCGTGAACAGATTCACGTATACTTTTCCAAAATGAGAAAAGTAACTTTAATGGGTGCGACAGAAGTGATTGCTCTTTTCGTAGTTGTTGAAGAACTTTTTTATATCTGACTATGTAGACTTAAACTTTTTACCAAAAGATTTCCCATGTCATTTTCCACGAACGTGTTTCGATGTACTAGAAGAAAATATTGCAAAGTTTCACTCTCGACAATTTTGTAACTCAAAACATAGTTTCTTCAATTTTAGTTCTTCATATTCTCGTATATAGAACAAGAGAAGTGAGAGATTTTGTAACCTTTGAAAAGCTCTATCAATTGATTATATTTAAAAAATTCTTCATAATCACAAATGGTCGGATCAAAGCATTTTTCTTGTCGAAAATCATCGTTTTAAATCATTGTTTTAAGTTATAAAATTGTTGAGATTGAAGTTTCACAATATTTCCTCTAGATTTGATTTTTACACTATATAGCAAAGTGGCCGGTTTGTTTTTTGTAGAAAATGACATTGCGAGACTTGCACCAATACTAATCATTATTGAAGGTATTGTAAGAAATTATTGGCTATCCAATAACATTGGGTCCCGATATTATTGTATATTCAATATATCCGGACCAATATTACTGGTCACTCAATAAGACTGTACAATAATATTGAGTCATATTGGGTTCCACAATACACTGGATTCCAACTTTTTAACCTTAATATTATTGACCTTCATAAAAACGTGAGGAAGCATATCCGATCGGGATTAGGCATGCACCGATTAATAATCGATGTTAGAACATTCAGTGCAGCCAGTCCGAATCAGTTGTAGAAAAAGCACAACATTTCACCAAACTGAAGTGCAAAAAAACATTCTAGCATTATCTGCGACAGAAATATAAGCGCTCAAAACTAAGAAAAACTGCGAAAAAATAAGACTATCGATTATTTTCTACGATTTTAGTACGTTTTCGATTTATTATATTTTCTCTATATATAACATTAAAATTTTTCTAGCACTTCAGTTTGGTAGAGCTAACATTTTCCTACAAAATGAGACATTCGGCAGCTCTAAGTGCTCTTTTTACAACTGATTCGGACCAGCTCTGCGGAATGCCCTAACATCAATTATTAATCGGTGCCTCCCTAATTGGGTTATATTTTGATTAAAAACGGTATATAAAGCATGTGTCTGTGCTGTAAAAGTAGGCTGAACCAGGGGTGTAACCCGTATCAGAAATACGATACCGATACCGATCACCGATATACAAACTTCGTACCGGTAGCGGCCGGTATACTGGTCCACCTGACCGTATTTTGCCTAAATACAAATACTTTTTCCTTGTTTTTCTGTACCGTGAACTTTATTTTATGTTATCAAAGGGATAGACTAATCTTCTCGCTTTAATTATGTATAGCTGACTTTTCACACGCTTTTTTTTACGAAAACAGCAATCCAATTCAACCTTTTAAATCAAGAAGTTTATATAAGCCTAAAAAGCTTTAGTAATTGAAATGAAATTTTGTTGGAAGAAATACGTCACAGATGAACTGAATTTACACGATGGTTTTGGAAAAAAATCGTATCATACCGCAAAATCGGCCGACCGATTATACTTCATACTGATGCCGGTATACCGGTCGCCGTTATAATTCGTACCGATACCGGCTGCACCTCTGGGCGAACTCAAGTGACCCAATACCCAATAATATTGTGAAAACCCAATATATTGGGATGACCGATATTATTGGGACCCAGTATATTGTACTGGTGCATGCCTGAACATGGCAAATACGTACACACGGTCAGATATAAAAGGTTCTTCAAAAACGACGGATAGGTCAATCACTTCTGGCGCACTCGTTAAAGCATCTGTTATAAAGCAGAGATCGGTACACTCTCAAAGCACACTATCGGGGCCTAAACCCAATTCCAGATCAGAGTGAACGTTATTTAACCTAAACTATTGTATGGTATATGTCTGGTCAAGAGATCCTTACCGTTTAATCAATGTACCGGCAAACATGAGTATTTCAGTTTGTATTGCTTTCGATGAACATTGTTGAAATCGACCGACTAGAAAAGATGCATAACTGAAAATGACTTGCAATGTTGACCATGTTCGTTGTTGATGCTTGAAGGCATATGCAAATATTGATTCAAACACTGTACGATATTTGATTAGAACATTTAGATGAAAATAGTCGTTGAACTCTGAAAATGACCGGATGAGATTTTCGATAACCATTAGTTGCTCGTTTGTCAATCGTTTTTCAATCAAATTCAACACTTTTTCTTCAAATTGTCGAGTGCAAATTGAACATTTGAGTAATGAGGAGAGATTTTTGGCACGTTGTTCTACATCAGCATTTGTCTCTTTCATCAGCTTAACAAATTCATCGAAGTTCTGTTCCAAGAAATCGTATTTCAAATAGGTGAGTTTATCAACGGCATCAACCGGCTCCTCTTTTTCTTTTCGTGCTAATAGATATTTGCTCAACGGTGATGTTAACTGCGGAAACTCTTCTAACCTTGAGAGTGTGTCTGTTGATGCATGTGAATACAATTTTTTCAGAAACTTATCAATTCCAATTTGTTTTTGAACAATATTTTCAAAAAAATATTTCCGACGAGTGGTGATTGAATAAAAATTCTTGTGTTTTTGATTCTCGAAAAATGTGTTCAACACTTCATTCAAATCTGACATTTTCTCATACAGAATCATAAATATTTGAGTGTAATATTTTTCAGATAAACTACGCGGCAGGTTCAATTGAATTTCTCTTGAATATCCATGACTGTATTTGTGTCCTGATATCAAACCATTTTCACGCAGAAGCAATTTGAGTAGGTCTATCATCTGTTCTGGAGCTGTTTCAAAATATTTTCTCATGTTTGTTGACAAAAATGATGGCATTTCTCTTCTTGGTTTTGGATATTTTTTGAGTAAATCGAGAACATATTGACAAATGTGCTGATAGATCAAGGCATCTTGACACTTGGATAATGCTGAAAATTGTTCTTCTTTTTCCTTAAAAAATTCCAGAACATCATAATTCTGTTGTTGTTTCATTTTATCTTCGAGCTCATTGTTCAGTAGCTTCAAAACAATTTGAGGATGTCGTTTGATGAGTCTGGCACTGAGTGAAAACCGTAACTGATCCAAACGTCTTATTTCCCATAGCTGTAGCAGCTGTTCAACGTGTAAAGGAGAACAAAAGGCAAGTGTGTAAAAATCAATGTTGTATTGCTCGGGATGATGTGTTTTAGTTAGTTCTGTAGCTATATCGAAAAAAATATTTTTCGAATATTTATTTTCGCGACACAATTGATTAACAAATCCTAACACACGCGATTTGATTCTAAAATAATAAAGTTTATAGGTAAAATCTAATTGATTAACTAGTGATTTAATCGCCAAGTAAGGTGAGGATTTTGGGAGAAAGCTATGGTTAAGACTTTTTTAGAATTTCATTCTTTTTTTTCTATAATGGAACGTTTTCTTCTGCGCATCACGTCAACTAAATGCGAAGAATTGTTTAATAATACAGCAAACGTTTTAGATAGATTTTGGCTCTGATAGGACCGCGTGCTTCCCAAACCATGAACAAATTCATGAGTAGGGATAAATGGTAACGGTAAAAAGATAATTTTTACCGAACTTCCATTTTGACTTCTGAGTAAGAACATTAATCACACAAGCTTCGGTAATTTACCGTCGGTAACGGTAAAAAAATTTTTACCGAAGTTTAGCGCGGTAAAATTTTGAGTTTAACAGTTTGAAATTACCGCGGTAACAATCTGATATTGTTGCCGAAGCATCAGTAAGGGTAACACGTTTTTACCGTTACCGCTCATCTCTATTTCTGACCGCGGCACTAAGGTTAAATTAATCTCGTTTTTAAAATACTTACCGTCTTGGTATATTGTCACTGTTAACTAAATTAATAATGAATGTTTGAGCTTCTTGCTCATTTGGTTCCAGTTTGAGAAATGCTTTCATTGCGGATAATCGAACGTCAACGGGATATTCAGTTGTGTTGAATACTGTCTCCAGAATACCTCTATTTTTAGTAATAAAGCTAGAAAATATCAACATTCTCTTATCGTCGTACTCGCGTGAATCGAGCAAATGTTGATTTAGCTGATCTACATTTGTACCCTTGAGATCGTTAATGTATTTGAACATGGCATTACGGGAAACTTTTGTGGAAGCAACATAGCCGTCAACAATAGACGATGACATGTTGGATGATCTGAAATTTAAATAATAATAAGAATAATGATACCGTGTAGAGTCTGCACGAACAAAGATCATGAAGAGCTCATTTTCGTTCGTACAAAAGAATGAATGGATCATTCTCATTATTTGATTCGAATCGCATTACGCACAGTTGTTGTTCAATCAGAATCAAAGCTCGAAAAAGAACTGAAAAGGTAGGCGGTGAGCCATTTCCTCGTTTGTTGTTAAATAATTCTACTCATAAATTCGAGGTGTTGGAAATTATTGAGAACGGGCACCTACGATTGAAACATATGTAGAAGTGGCAGGGTGAGGAAGTAAGAGGTGCTTTTTCTACTATAGAATCTGCATCCAGTGTACCTCCTAATCATGAAAAAATAATCATAGAAATCTATGGTTCGGAGAAACATATGTGAAACATTTGTCCGAAAGATTACACACCCGTTATTAACCTAAACAGAAAATTTTCAATAAAGTGTTTTTGTTTGAAAACCGAATGCTAAGTATGCTGTTCGATCCAGTTTTGTCTGTCTGCTGATCTCAAATATGTTATTAGTTTTGCTGGAAAATATAAGTAAAAATGGACTAAGTGAAATGGCGAAGGTTAGAGGTGAGTGTGTAATCTTTCGGACAAAAGTTTCATATACGTTTCTCTGAACCATAGATTTCTGTGATTATTTTTTCATGATTATGATGTACATTGAATGCAGATTCTATAGTAGAAAGAGCGACCTTTAGTTTCTCATCCTGGCTTCTACATATGTTTCAATCGTGGGTGCCCGTTCTCAATAAATTTCCAGAACCACACAATAGTTAACCTTCATAATTTACCTAGATAATCTACAGATACTGTAGAGCGAATGTGAAGTCAAAATGATGCTCCTACACTGAGTTGTAAATATTTTCGCAAAGGACCTCGAATTTTCAAAAAAATAAAAGCAATCCTCGTCCGTAAAATAGCTGTATTTCACTGACTACTAACAAACAACTCGCCCAATTCATGTTGTAGACAGAGTAGAGTCGTGGCTACATTTTAGTAAAAAGAAAACGTTTTCTTCTAAGATATTTTTCGGCAAAGAAATAAATCGCTTATATCTCGCGAACCATCCAGTAAAAGAGGTCCAAACTTGGTGGATGATCAGCGCTCGTGAGAGCTATGATCACACAAAATTAGAACTCCCTAGTTATCATGGTTCTTGAGCTACAAGGGTGTCGCTACTTTTGTGAAGTACTATAACAGTCATATATCGTACGTAAATAAAAAGCATATAAACTTTGGATGCTGTTTAGCAGCAGGAAAAAAGATAATCCAATTTCTACGTTATTGTATGGTTCAAATACGGATTTTTCGCAACAAATTGTATTTCGCGACATAATAGTACTATGTTATTACTTCCATTACGATATGATAATACACGACCATTGCAACGGTCGTTTTCACCATCAGTTAGTGGCAAAATTCGCTGCTATCTTACTCTTATTGCTTTTTGTTCTTGTCCTTTTATATACCTTAAACTGTTATCTTTTTTAATTCATTTTTTCTTTTGTTGCTCTCCATTGATGACAATGCTTATTGTTTTGTTGTAGGTCTGATTGACTAACAAATATATACTCTCTATCCTCTTTCTTGTAAAGACATTTGCTTCGTTATCGAAAATAACGCTTTCACGAAATCCCCCCTTATCGGCACATCTTTCGTGCTGTTGTACTTGTCTATCGTAACATCCTTTCTCACATATACATAATGAAACCTTACTATTGTTACGAAATAACTGTTAGCGAACACTCTGTTTTATAAGATCATTTATTTTTTCTGTCTCTTCGCGTTTAAATCGTATCTTCTTATCTCTTTTTCGAATATCCATTATATTAGTTTATATTCTTTTATATTATGTTATACAAGCAACGTGTCTAATACTAAGCACGTGTCTAACTATTCTTTTTTTTTCGAGGTTATATTATTGTTATAAGCTTTATTGAAAAAGAAAAAGGAAAAAGTTAGAAAAAATCAGTACAGTAATGAGGAGAAGGAGGCGAACCCATTTCATCTTTGCATCATTGACGGTGGATAAAGAACAGGACAAGAAATACATATTAAAACAAGTGATAAGGACAACACAAAAAAGACAAGACACAAAAAACCAACTATGTGATGTACTATTCTACATTTCTTTCTTGATCTTTTCTTTCTTGTATTATTTAGCGATGTTTTTTATGATATAACACGAGTGAATTTTTAAGTCGTACGAAGGAGTAGGTATGCTCCAGTTTCAGTTCCTAGTTAACTGGAACTGTTAAGAACTGGGGCTGTGAATTTTTCAAAAACAATTTTCTACCTGATTAAATCGAAAGACGCATCTGTAGATGCACTTTTCACGCTGACCACGAAAATCAATTTTAAAATTTATAAAAATTAAAACTTCAATGTAAAAATTTAAATTTTAAGATTTAAAATTTTGTAATTTAAATTTCCTCACCTAGATATTTTCTTGAAAAAACTTTAAAGCTATGCTGATCGATAGAGCATTCAATTCTCTACAAAATGGCTTATTTTTTTCAAACTTCCGATGCTTAGAACACATTTTAGAGTCAAAAGAGTTTTCTGGAAAACCAGTTCTTTTTTCAATTAAAAATTAAAATTCTATCAACAGAATTTAGAATTTCTTTGACTATTAATAAAATTTAAAATTTCTTTTGAATTCGTTCCAAATATTTCAAAAAAAAACTGATTTCCAGAAAACTCTTTTGGCTCTAAAATCTGTTCTAAGCATCGGAAGTTTGAAAAAAAATAAGCCATTTTGTAGAGAATTGAATGCTCTATCGCTCAGCATTGTGAGGATATGGATCCTCTAGGGGCTAACTCTAATCGTAGAAGTGAAGCTTTAGTGAGAATCAACTCTTACTCCCATATTTATTTAAGAAAGTGAACGACTATATATAGTACACAAGTTGAACAAGAGTTATGTAAGAGTTGCGCAGGAATTGCGCAATAACAGAAAGAGTTAGGAAAACCACAAGATGACACAAGTGTTGCGCAATAACAGAATTACGCAAGAATGAAGAAGTCTTATGAGCTGCGAGGAATGGCAGATCATAACAAGCATAGCTTTCAATTTTTTTCAAGAAAATGTCTAGTTGAGAAAATTTAAATTACAAAATTTTAAATCTTAAAATTTAAATTTTTACATTGAAGTTTTAATTTTTATAAATTTTAAAATTGATTTTCGTGGTCAGCGTGAAAAACTGCATTTAGAGATGTGTCTTTCGATTTAATTAGATAGAAAATTGTTTTTGAAAAATCCACAGCCCCAGTTCTCAACAGTTTCAGTTCTCCCAGTTCCATGTCTTACAGTTAAAAACTGGAACTGGTGCATACCTACAAGAAAGCTAGTTAAAAACATAATAGGACGCGTCTATTCGTGTACATTTTCTTTCTGCTGAGATGATTCTTAAAAGATGGTTTTAATAAGTAAAATAAAGGAGATCATACTAAAAATATAAATAAGATCGACAGAGTAGCATAAGATAGAGAGAGACTGGCGACGAACCTAACACTATTTGATTTTTTCTCTAATTCGTTACATGCTATCTGCCTACTTTTATTTAAAATTCTGAGCAAAACCTTATTTTTTGATTCACACGTTTCGGGTTGAGTCTGTACAAGTGTCTAATTAATGAATGATCTTCGTAACATGATTAGCATCAGCTTAAAAATAGTGGTATTTTTCTTGAAAAGACTTACCAAACGTGTATATGGCAGTTGCAAAAACGTTAACGTTTAATATTTTACTAGCAGTACGTAGCTGTATTCTAAGTAACGCTTTCAAAATGTTGGTATGTTGTCGTTTTTATATAGATGCAGGCAGTGTACGAAAAAATAATTTCGAGGTCATGATGATTCAGTATGTAGTTTGTGTAAGAGTTGCTATTATATATTTCTTTATATGGTGAAATATTTGCTCGCAATCTTTGTTTCTGTACATCTGTCTCGTGTTTTTTTTTGTCATTCTTTTCTCTCGTCCTTCTGTTAGTTTTTTCTTTTCTCTCACACGTTTTGCAAACAACATGTAGTTCGGTTGTTATTCAGTCCTATCTTACGCTTTTTAGATCGATATAATTAAAATCACAGAGTAACCTTGATAGTTTTAACAGACAAAAGACTTCATTTTATTCTGCAAAATAACAAATAAACATGCGGTCTGTTACGTAGGAACGAAGAGCGATAAAAAATGATGATAATCTAGACCGACAATATATTGCTGATGTCAAGAGCCGGTACACGGGTGAAACAGCATATGCTGCTCATAACGTCTGAATTATTGACTATCGATAGTAGCAACATGCATAGGAAGAATTTCAAAGCTTCAGAGCGAACATGCTTCTCTCAAAAATTCATGTATGTTCGACGAAAAACCCCCAACCGCATTACAAGTATTTTCCCATAAAAATCGGTTTCTGATCTCTATAATGCACATCAGAAACTACAGAGATATTTGAAAAGCCTTAAATATAAGTGTGACTCAGGCCGAACTCTAACAGTAGACAACATCTTGTGCAT